ATGTGCCATCTCGTTTTAGGGAACCTCCAATCTTCCCGTAGCTATGCCTGTGGGTGAATGATTCTGGTGTTGCTGACCAGCTACCTTTTCCTTGAGGTCTAACCTAGCCTGCCTTTCCCCTTCCCCCGCATTGTTTGGGGAAATCATTAACTCGTGCTCAGTAAGACCTTGAAGCTCCTCATCAAGGGACAAGCTCCACGGAGCTTCCACGTGAGAAGCAGTTTGATTACAAACCAGGATCTGCAATTCCCAGGGGCTGCCCTCATAGAATTTTAATTGGGGGCTGTTTGAAATTCCCTTTGGCTTTCTCTGTGCACACCCCATCACTGCCCATGAGCGATGTTACCTATTGTCAGTTCCTTAGGCCTCTCATGTTCCTTAGCTGCTACTGTTGTGATACAACTTCTTGGTATCTTTTTAAAGCACTCATCAGGAAGACCTTAGGGTGAGTTTTGTGCACCCCATAAAGCTTTTATTTTAAGCCACACTATTTCAAGTGTATCCTTCAAATACAGTTAAATTCAGTTTTGAAGTTTTAGCTGCACTGAAAGCCACTTCACTTTGAGGGCCTCCCTAGGACCTCTAAATGCATTTGCATTTTAAGTCAAAACTTTCAAAATTCTCCTTATTTGCTGAAAATCTATGTAACTATGTTCACATGATAAATAAATGTCATTGTATTCACAGAGATTATTCCAAGAAGATTAAAGGTCATGCTAGCCCATTTGGACCTTGTAAATTGCAAGTGTCCTCAAACTCAGGAAAATTGCAGCAAAATTGGAATGTTTCTCAAATGGCCTAGACACAGTTTTTTTAAAAAAATTACGTTTTTTAACTAATGTTTTTAAGGAACTGTACAGGGGAAAACACTAGGAGGAATTCAAGCACAAAGCACAGGTATTTGGTGCACACACACCACACACACACACAGGGAAATGAGAATCTATGAAAGTGCCTCTCTGCACTCATGAGAATGGATCACAGATGATCTGCTATCTCCAATCTTTAAACACAGCCCTCTACATATGAATAACGTCCTCTGAAGGGCACTGCGGCCTCCAGAATTAAGGAAGCCCGTAATTCTTCCAAATACTAGAGCCCTTATCTCTTAAGAGAGCTTTTCCTCAGTGCCTCACAGGAATGGCAGGATCACCACTAACAGCATTCCTTACGCAGGAATGAAGCGGTCATATTTTAAAAGTCATCTTCTGAATACCGACTTCATGCCCTACACATCTCATGTGTCATCTCAGTTGTCTCTAATCCTCACAGTCCTTTGAGGGAGGAATATGTATTTCCAATTTTACACATTTCTGAATTCCTTTTCTTGCTTTGTTTTTCTGTATAGCACTTTCACTTTCTAATATATAATTATTAGTTTCGTTTATTGGATTGTCCTCATTAGAATGTAAACTTCAGTGAGGCAGGTTATTCTTGTCTGTTTATTCACTGATGCTTTCCTGGAATCTAGGCTAAATGGGTGAATGAATGATGTGAGACCCAATTGACTAGTGAGTGGCAGAGGTTTGAACCCAGGCCTATGTGCTGTGCTGACACACTAGATGAGCAATGGTACTTGTGAAGATGAGGATCTAGGGCATACTCTAAGGGAGAGAGAATATGCAACATTTAGTGAATGGCTGACTGATGCAGAGTTGTGTGCAAAGAAACCCACTGATGTGTTAAAGGAGCTGGGAAAGCAGCCTAACTTTTGATCTTTGACCCCATCTGTGGGGAGGAGGCAACAGAAAAGGTGAGGCTGGAGAAAGCCAGAAGGTCAAAATTTTAAATGCTGACCTTGAAATTCTTCACATTTGGACAGGGAATACAACATGGAAGTGAGTATAGTGTCCACAGCACTCTGTAATCCGTGCATGTGAGCATCCTTAAGAGTCTGTAAAGGGTTTGGATGCACGTCTTGACACTTTCCGTTGCTACTATGTGACCCTGGGCAAATTCCTTAATCTTTGTAAATGGGGATAATTTTCATGGGTTTTCTGAAGACTGTCCGAAGTTATGCACGTAAACACAGAAACAAGATGGTACCCATCATGTAGTAAGTGCCCAGTACACACTGTTATATCTATTATATCAGTTTGCTGTGGCTGGAGAACAGGGTGTTTCAAAGGTGACCGGTAGGGAGAAGTCAGAAATGTAGCTGGGTCCTTTCTGATAACCTTGCTAAAGGATTTTGATCCTGGTCTATGAGAACACCTCCTTTGCTTGACAGTTGTATTAGAACGGATTAAATCGGTTAGGGTAGTGCCTCGGAGGGCTTTGCTGCAGATGAGCCAGTCCAGGCGTGCTGTAAGGCAAGCCTCAAGGGGCATCTGTGGAATGCCAAAACCGTCCCCCCAACCGAGGCCTTTTCACAGGTTCTCAATTCAGAAGGATAAAAAATTAACTCAAAACAGTTAATAGCATCCCACCACTATTTTAGGACATTTCACCGTACCCATTTTGTCGTCACAGGGACCATGAAGCAGATAGTTTTATATTAATTATGCCGACGTGGAAGACTGCAACTTAGAACCGCTAGATGATTTAACTAAGGGCGCACACCTAGATAGAAGCTGGATACATAATTCAAACGACGGCCGTCTCACTCCAGAAGCCCTTTACGCAGCATTTCTAGGACTGAGCGGTCAGAACGCCACTTTAGTCAATATGCCAGGAAAGACTGGCATTCCCCTGGCGATAGAGTTAAGAAGCATGGGTAAAACTAGTTTCGATGTGTCCTCCTGAATCTATAGTCATACTCAGGTAGCTGCACTTTTAAAACAGGCAAAGTGGAAACCCAGCTTCCCCCACTTTCTCTTCTGTTGGAGGTCCCGGGCTGCACCTCCAACAGGTTTGCTCTTTCCAGTTCCGCTGCAGGACACCCTGCCTCTTCCCTCACTGTCCCCAGGTCCCAATGACTGAAACGTCTCGGAGTGGGAACTTCTGTGACAGATCGGGGAGGATAGGGGGAGTCAACTCCAGCGCAGGCCTCCCCCGGCTGAAACTAGAAGATATCCAGTGAAATACAGTTTAGTTCCAAGGGCTGCCCAAAAAAGGTGCGGAAAGGAGCGCGGCAATCCCCACCTTCGTCGAACATGCTCCTCCCGGGGCGGCCTGCCTGCAGCAGAGCTCCAAAATTGGCAACCCGGGCCTCGCAGCCGCCTTTTTTTAGCCTACATTTCCCAAACCAGGGAAGAGGCGGCTGACTAAAAATGCAAATTGCAGCAGGGGCGTCAGCAGGCATGCCCGTGGGTGCGGGGCGTCGGGCGAGGGGAGACCCCGCGACCTTAGGCGCCCTAGCGGTGTTGTCGGTGGGCGCAAAGCGCAGCGAGGGAGGCTACCCAAAGCCGCACCCCGCCAGGCGGCTGCCCCCGCTTCCGCCTCCCAGGCAGCGGCGGGACAAAGCGCGGCCTCTTTTCCGCCGGGGTTTAGGGAGGGGATGCCGGATTAGGGCCCGCGCCTTCCGGCCGCAGCCCTCCCGCGCCGAGCCGGCTGCTCGCAGGTGGTTTTCCGCTCGGGAGAGTCGGACCTCGGCACTTTTATATAACAATAGAGCTCTGCGCGCCGGGAACGCGCCTCCCCGCCGCCGCGGCCCCCACCCGGCCACGCCTCCATCCGGCTTCCAGTCCGTCCGCCCCGCGGCGCCCGGGCCAAGCGCCTGTGCGCTGGCCTGTCCGGCACCTCCCCAAGTTACCTGCTGGCTCTGCAGGGCGGTAGGGACGTTCCCCGCGACTCCTTGAGAGCCAAGAGCCAGGGGGGTCCCGGCAGGCACTCGTCCTTGCTCCCCCCACCACCCGCCCAGATCTCTATGGAACCGGGAGTCCCCCGCTCAGCCCCGCACCCGTCCACTGGATCGCGCAAAAAAGCCTCGAGCCCGCCAGGCGGGGAGACGGGGACAGCGGGGCGGTGGCAGGGAGCGCAGTGCGCAGGCGCGGCTGGTGCTCTAGGGAGTGCCAGGCGCTGGACAAAGGGAGAAGGCGGCGGCAGGAGGGGGCAGGAGAGGACCCCTCTGGCATGCCTCCCTGCCGACTGTAACCAATCGCGGACCCCTCCTGCTGAGCCCCCGGAGCCTGCAGACCTTGCGTGAGGACTTCCCCACGCCTCGCCAATGGCGGCGACTACCGGCCCGGCCTGGCACACCTTACCCAGGCAGTCCCGCCAGACCGGCTCCTCCGTCAGAAGCCGAGCTCCTTGCCCAGAAATCATTAACCAACGCGACCCCCCAGCAGGCGGTGACGGTGATGGGGCCGGGGGAGAGATTTAGATATCCGGAACAATGGCTCGTAACAACTCCCCACGCCGCTGGAGCGGAATACAGTAAAAGTACGGGACTGCCCGAAGAGTTTGCTTCTGTACTCTATATTGTTTTAAAGAAGATAAAATGCTACTTTAAGAAAAAAGGTTTTCTTCTGATTTTCTGGACAACCAAACATTTGTTTGCTTTAAAATGTTTCAGCAGAATCCCGGTTTGTTTCGAAAGATGCTGGATTAGCATTTAACACCTCATCGGTCACTAAAGCCCCGTCAGTTCACCAGCCCCAACACAGCCTCGGCAAAAAGAACATCAGAGCAAACAGAGCTGGGGCTTTAAAACTGGCAAACAAATACCACACACCGCCTAAAGAAGGGGGGTTGGGGGCGGGGAGGATTAAGGCGAACTTGATTCCAAATGAGTTTGAAGGGAATACAAAGAACAAAAAGTCAGCACAAGTTTTCCTAAAGCTAGCTCCCGAACGCAAGCGTCGCGAACAAGGGCTTTTGTGCATGCTAATTGCGCCATTGGTGCGCAAAAGTTCCGACGCGAAGTGTGAACTCTCAACAGAAGGAAACATGAGACAACTGAAGTGCCCTGGCTTATGTACCCTGCTCCTCCTCTGCTGCCGCCTCCCCTTCTTTCTCCTTCCTCCCGCCGAGCCCGCTGTTGCAGCTTGTTTGCACTGGGGCTTATCCGGAGCGGAAATTCCTTTCCGTTTTTGTGAATGACAAACTCATTAACAATTCATCAACACAACCTGTTCCAGCCGGCCCGTCCCCACGGCAACAGCCCCTTCCGCAGCTCGCTCATTGGCTGGCCCGGAGAATGTATCCATTGAGACGCTCGCTGTTTGTATCCATTGAGGAGCTGCCTCGCGCTGGGGGTGTGCGAGGCTGAGTCCCAGGGATAGTGAGCAAATCGACTCTTAAATAATCCGAGGAGAAAGACGCCCGGGTAGATTTGAGGTGCAGCCTTGGAGGGAGGGATTAGGAGCCGCTAGACTTTTTTTCCTTCCGTCTCAGTAACACGGAGTCCGAATTAATTGGATTTCATTCACTGGGGAGGAACAAAACTGTCTGGGCAGCTCCATTGAGAGAGATTCATTGACACTAAGAGCCAGCGGCTGCAACCGGGTGCAGAGAGAACCTCCGGCTTCACTTCTGTCTCGTCTTCCCCAATCGCCAGCCTCGGCTTGGGTAAGGCGAGGCGGACTTAAACCCCGCTCTGAGAGCGGCAGCTTAGCGCGCGGTGCGTTCGGCCTATGCCTGCCCCGAGGGGCGTCTGGTAGGCACCTCGCCCTCTCCCGCAGCTCGACCCCCATGATAGATACGCTCAGACCCGTGCCCTTCGCGTCGGAAATGGCGATCAGCAAGACGGTGGCGTGGCTCAACGAGCAGCTGGAGCTGGGCAACGAGCGGCTGCTGCTGATGGACTGCCGGCCGCAGGAGCTGTACGAGTCGTCGCACATCGAGTCGGCCATCAACGTGGCCATCCCGGGCATCATGCTGCGGCGCCTGCAGAAGGGCAACCTGCCCGTGCGCGCGCTCTTTACGCGCGGCGAGGACCGAGACCGGTTCACCCGGCGCTGCGGCACCGACATTGTAGTGCTCTACGACGAGAGCAGCAGCGACTGGAACGAGAATACGGGCGGCGAGTCGGTGCTCGGGTTGCTGCTCAAGAAGCTCAAGGACGAGGGCTGCCGGGCGTTCTACCTGGAAGGTACGCGCCCGGGAACTCCGCTCTCGGGGCAGGGCGCAGGGCTGCAGGCGGGGCGCGTGGACTAAATACTTCTGCCGCTGGCCCTTCATAGCCGCGCAGCTTGCCCAGGGGCCGGCCGCCGGCAAGGTAGGGCCCGCGACTCGCGGTTCCGCACCGGAGAACCGGGCAGGGGTAGAATCCACCCGCTTCCGGCCGCGGTTACTAGCCGTTTCTAACGGGTTCTGCGTCTTCTTACCGAGAACTTCCTCTACCATCACCCTGTTTTCTATCGTTCGATTTTGAATTAAGATTTGCAGGACCGGAGAGGTTGATGGGGGTGCAGATTGGCACATCCTAGCTTCTCAAAATAATCCCAAAAGTTGCCATTTTGTATATTTTCGGATTTAAACGAATACGAGTTCCCTGGCGAGGCGGGCCCGTTCGTTCCATTCTCAATAGTGCACATTTAAAGTGTGTTTCTCTTATGTATGTAGGGGGGCTTGTAGGGTGATTGTGGTGTTTCTTACGCCGGGCTGGTTCTTACAAGCTGTGAAAACTACTACTACTTCTCGGGTTACACGATTGCTTTTCTCGTTCTGGCAGGTGGCTTCAGTAAGTTCCAAGCCGAGTTCGCCCTGCATTGCGAGACCAATCTAGACGGTTCGTGTAGCAGCAGCTCGCCGCCGTTGCCAGTGCTGGGGCTCGGGGGCCTGCGGATCAGCTCTGACTCTTCCTCGGACATTGAATCTGACCTTGACCGAGACCCCAATAGTGCAACAGACTCGGATGGTAGCCCGTTGTCCAACAGCCAGCCTTCCTTCCCAGTGGAGATCTTGCCCTTCCTCTACTTGGGCTGTGCCAAAGACTCCACCAACTTGGACGTGTTGGAGGAATTCGGCATCAAATACATCTTGAATGTCACCCCCAATTTGCCGAATCTCTTTGAAAACGCAGGAGAGTTTAAATACAAGCAAATCCCCATCTCGGATCACTGGAGCCAAAACCTGTCCCAGTTTTTCCCTGAGGCCATTTCTTTCATAGGTGAGACTAATGAGTAGTCGTTGCTCTGACATTTAAATGCAAAATTCCCAGCCATTCATAGAGTTTAAGCTGTTAATCGTTCTTGCTGTTTGCTAATTTGTCGGACTGAAGGTCTCTAATGTTTCTAGAGCGTCCTTAATTCTGTTTTATCTTCTTGCTAAGGGAAGAAAACCTGCCTTTTGACATGGCTGCAGATCACCTATTTGAAATACTATTTCTTGAATCTTTGAATTCAGTCATTTGACGGGGGTTGGGGTCGTTCATAATCGGAAAACAGATTTTTCCCACAGTCTTTGGACTCAGGGGAAGGATCAAATAGTACTACTCACTATAGACAGGAATTCCAGCATTGCTTTATAATTTAAAAACCTAGGAGTTATATTAGGACGTCAGGTTAGTTGTTGGAAAGCAGTATGAGTGCTAAATATTATCCAGTTGAATGATACTGTGATACTGGTGACAGTGAGACAGTGGGTAACCTGAGCCCAGCAGGAAGAACTGTGGGCTGGAAGCCGGGGAGAAGTGAATCTCCAGGCATTGTAATGCATTTCCTATTACAAAGGAACTCATTTTCAAGCCATGTCGACATCCTGTTCTTCCTAATGGGCTGTCCCCTGTGACTTCCCTCTCTCTTTTAAAATGCCTGAATACCTCCATTGTTAACTGCACAACATTTGGAGAATAATTTAATAGACCCTTGCAGTCTGCTTGTCTGTATAAAAGGCATTCACGAACATATTGCAGGGTTTCTGGTATTCACATGCTGAGGCAAAGAATGCACCCATTAAGGAGTTTTTTGTTGGCAGAAACTTAATACAAAAGCCCTCTTTTTAGAAAATATCTGAAATATGTAATTGTGTCCAGTGTACATGTTTTATTTCAGTGATCCATTTTCCGTTGCCCATAGAGCTTAACAGCCACATACAATTATGGTTATTAAAGTTCAGTTTTTAGACTGATCATTCACAAAGTGTGGTTTTCAATACACTGAGATCTTGCTTTTCTTTTTGTGTTCACAGATGAAGCCCGGGGCAAGAACTGTGGTGTCTTGGTACATTGCTTGGCTGGCATTAGCCGCTCAGTCACTGTGACTGTGGCTTACCTTATGCAGAAGCTCAATCTGTCGATGAATGATGCCTATGACATTGTCAAGATGAAGAAATCCAACATATCCCCTAACTTCAACTTCATGGGTCAGCTGCTGGACTTCGAGAGGACGCTGGGACTCAGTAGCCCCTGTGATAACCGGGTTCCAGCACAGCAGCTGTATTTTACCACCCCTTCCAACCAGAATGTCTACCAGGTGGACTCCCTGCAATCCACGTGAAAGACCCCACACCCCTCCTTGCTGGAATGTGTCTGCTCCTTCAGCAGTTTCTCTTGGCAGCATCAGCTGGGCTGCTTTCTTTGTGTGTGGCCCCAGGTGTCAAAATGACACCAGCTGTCTGTACTAGACAAGGTTACCAAGTGCGGAATTGGTTAATACTAACAGAGAGATTTGCTCCATTCTCTTTGGAATAACAGGACATGCTGTATAGATACAGGCAGTAGGTTTGCTCTGTACCCATGTGTACAGCCTACCCATGCAGGGACTGGGATTTGAGGACTTCCAGGTTTATAGGGTAGGACCAAATGGTAGGGTAGGAGCATGTGTTCTTTAGGGCCTTGTAAGGCCGTTTCCTTTTGCATCTGGAACTGACTATATAACTGTCTTCAATGAAGACTAATTCAATTTTGCATATAGAGGAGCCAAAGAGAGATTTCAGCTCTGTATTTGTGGTATCAGTTTGGAAAATAAAAAATCTGATACTCAATTTGATTACTGTAAATATTTGATCTTAAATCACTTGACAGTGTTTGTTTGAATTGTTTTTTCCTTTGATGGGCTTAAAAGAAATTATCCAAAGGGAGAAAGAGCAGTATACCACTTCTTAAAAAAAAAAAAAAAAAAAAAAAAAAAAAAAAAAGAAAGAAAGAAAATTGTGCTCTTTTCTAATCCAAAGGGTATATTTGCAGCATGCTTGACTTTACCAATTCTGATGACATCTTTATGGACACTATTATTACTAAGACCTTGTTATGGCGAAATCTTTAGTCTTTTTCATGTATCTTCCTCATGATTTTTTTTCTCTTTATGTAGTTTGACTATGCCTTACCTTTGTAAATATTTTGGCTTGTGTTGTCTCAAAGGGGATAATCTTGGAAAGACACCAAATCATGAGCTTACTTTTTTTTCCTTAAACTTCAGCTGTGCTAAACAGTATATTACCTCTGTATAAAATTCTTCAGGGAGTGTCACCTCAAATGCAATACTTGGGTTGGTTTCTTTCCTTTAGAAAAAATTTGTATAAAACTGGAAGTGTGTGTGTGAGCATGGGTACCCATTTGATAAGAGAAATGCATTTGATTGTGAAGAAGGGAGAATTAAATTGCTCCATTATGTTCGTGGTGTAAAGTTTTGAGCTGGAATTTATTCTAAGAATGTAAATCCTTAAATTATTAATAAATAACTATTTTGGCTATTGAATGTGTATTTTTTAAAAAAATCTCTCATTAGTTATACCTACCTGTGAAGTGACACATTTTTAAAATTTTTCATTCAGGGATTGATTTTGACTTGTAGGCATAGTAGGGCAAAGTTCTTAACTTTTTAAACTTTTCCTAGAATGTTTTTCAGGGGCAGTTTATGAAATTCATCCTTTGCCACAAAAAAGGATGACATCCTAGAATGGACTGTATCATGTATATGAACAATACCTTTTATGAGTATAGTTCAGGCTTAAGATTTTAATGCCCCTGAAGAAAAAGGAAGCTATAGAGTATAGCTGGCTGAGGAATAAAATTGGATATTAGTGAATAACCACAGAGAGGTGTAGCACAATAACAAGCTGACAGCCGCATATTAACCTGCTCTCTATCCTTCACCGTCAGGATCCTTTGCTCAATAATGCTGAAAGATGCCAAGTAGAAAGTAGGGATAATTCTTTTTCCAGGCTGTTGTCACTGCCTGGCAATGCTACCTGCAGATATCCACATGAGAATGATGAATCCAGAATGATGTCTCCATTTCCCCTAGCATGTGCGTGGCAAGCATATCTAAGCTTTCTCACTGTTGCAGGCTATGGCTTTAGAATTTTACATTGGCACTTAAGAGGGAACTTTGTTACCCTGTTCTAATGTGCTTTTGTGTTTAACTGGTTCAGAATGTGGGTCAGAAACCCCTACTGAAACTTGTGGGGATTGTACTGAATAGTTTCTTTGTAAGCTAAAGACTGTATCTTGTCATTTTCCTTGATACCTACTCTTTCCTCACCTCAAGTGTAAAAGTATACAAACCAAATAAAAGGCAGGCGTATGGAATCAAAAGAACTAGAACATACTTACATTTGGGGCTCTTTTGCATGAGCTCAGTCCCTTCATCTGAAGTGGGGAGAAGGATGAGCTTTTCACCCACATGGCACATATGTTGACTTCGTCATCTACACTAAATGGCCTTCGGTTTATGGCAGTCATATAAAACTGTCCACGGTGACTTTTAAGCAACTAAGTATAAAAGGCAAACAGAAATAGTGCAAAACATATATATACCAAGTCAGTCTCTCCTATTTGGGTGTCCCAAGTTAGCAAGAGCACAGAAAGGAGAAGTGGATTGCAGTTCAACTTGGCTCGTATTAATCCAGTGCTGAACGGTTTCCGCTCCTGGCATTCCCTAAACTGCCTGTTCAAAGTAGGGATTTGCAAGCAGCGTTAGCAATTTCCTGTCCAGCTGCAGCTCAAGTAGCTGGGTGCTTTTTCCCCCCTTTCTTTTCTCTGATTTCTTTTCTCTTTCTTTTTCTTTCTTTCTTTTTTTTTTTTTTTTTTAATATGGGCTGTGGATAATTTTAGTGCATTTCCTCTTTGTGGATTATTATCTCTTTCCTCCTAGAACCTGCATACATTGAGTTCCTACTGCTTGGCTCAAGCCGACAGCTGGCCTCCCCGGCACTTCCTCTCGTTTCACTGTGGGTTTGTTGTTTGTCAGTCCACTTCTGAAATTAATAATGTTTTCTGGCGAAGTGCCACAAGCCATTACCACAAAGGGGAAGTAACACATATGAATAGCAGGAAGCCATGCAGGGTCACAGTGTGAGCTGAACCTGTGGAGGGAGCATAATTGAGCCTAGCCCATTCAGCAAGTGTTTGACGGCAATTTGGGGAGAGGGAGCTCGCTGCATCTAAGCAGCTCAAGCTGTGAAAAAAAAAGTTTCCAATAAATTGGGAGCAAATGGTCTTTGTCACCAGTCTGAATAAAGGAGAGAGAGTATGAAGAGTTTACAGCCTCCATAAAGTTGCAATGTTTGAGGTTTCTGCCCCCCTCTTCTGACATATTGTTTCATAAGGCTGGTGAACAGAGGGGTGCCTGTTTCCCTCTATTCTCACAAAAGGACTCATGTTAAATGGGTGGTTTTTACGGTTCACATAGGCCAGAAGATTCAAAGAGCTATTCTCTTTCCTTCTTTTTCTTCTGTGGAAGGTGGAAGGTTGTAACTGACAGCATGGGCCCCCACCTCACTCTGTGCTTCCCTTTCTTCCAGCTATACCAGGGCTCCTCTGGTCCCTTTGTGCTTGCAGGAGCTGCGTGAAGGCGATCATTTTGCATCTTGGAGTTGGACTGGCTTCCTGAATGGAGCCGGCACGGTTACTAGGGCAACCTTTGCCAGCAGCTGCAGTTCTACCGCCTCCTTCCTCACCTGCTGTCCCCATTAGTAGCTTCCTCGGGTCTCTGAGAAAGTGCTACCTTTCCTGGCCTTTTGCAGGGGGTGGGGCTTAGCTTTTGGGAAACGGGGGTTATCTGCAGGTTTCATGGAAGCTGCAGGAGACTTAGAGAATGCAGTGGTTAATGGTAACTGGTCTTAGGATTGAAATAGGAATGAAAAAGGGTTATCTGGGGATAAAAATACCAACACAGTCTTCAAAGGAATGAAAACTGAGACTTGCACCGACCTGACAATTAGGAGACCTGAACTCTAGCTCCTGCTTTCTTGCTAAGGAATCAGGTAGCCCTGGGCAGGGCACCCAGTCTTACAGCATTTCTTTTTTCTTGTCTGTAAAAATGAGGGAGTTTTTACCTCTCATTCTAGGATTCTCACAATTTCAGCTTCTGTTCATGGATCGGGGACACTTATTACATGATAAAATAAGGTACAGAGCAGGTGAAACAAATAACTAACATTTATCATGGGTACCAGACACTATACTTTGTATCTCATTTAATCTTCAAAACGGCTCTGTGAGATAGGTCCTATTATTATCTTTATTTTGAAAGGAGGAAACTGAGGCAGAGAAAGGCCAGTAAGGCCTAAAGCAACCTATATGGGACACCTGACACACAATGACAGAGAAAGTATGCATATCCAGTGTTTGTTACAGTGGAACTGAACCTTGAACCTTTGGCTCTTCCTGTTGGAAACGGCTTGTTGTCAGTATTTGCTCCCCTTTATAAAGTCTCATGATGTTCACTAGGAAATGCTGTCCCCATTATACAGCTGAGGAAGTGGAGGAAGCAGAGGTTAAAAGACCAAATTCCATGTGAATTCCACAGTCACATGGGAGGCCCCAGCTCGTGTTGTCAGAGAGGTGTCAACCCAGGGGGTAAACTTCCATCCTCCTTCTCTGCAGAGAAGTTGCTCTTCGTTGGTCCCATTGGCACTTAAATTATGAAATTACTTTTCCTAAGAGTCTCTAAAGTGACTACCAGCCAGCATAGGGCCTGGCCCTGACCCTTGACCATACTGCCCTTTCAGGATGACACAAGTAAACTGGCCCCAAAGGAGTTCACTTCCTCACTCTGATCCCTCCTAGAGGCAAAGGCAAACTGGGAGAGGGAGACGGGTCGGGAGTGGGGGAGGGGCGTAAAGAAGAAAGGAGGAGAAGCAGAAGACATATATATGGTGCAGGTCTGCAAAAGAAGAGAGGCAAATTGACCAGCAAATAAGCAAATAATGGAGATGGGGGCTTTTAGGACACAGCCAGGGCAGATCACGTGGTAGCTGGCTGTAAGAAAATATCCTTGAAATGTCCTCTTTAAAAAATCAGTCTTCAGACTTTCAGCTGCTTCAAAAGGATTACTTTGGGTGTAAATTTATATGCAGTTCCTCACACAGCCATAATCGTTTTCGGAAAGATCCTGCAAGACTTTCAAATACCCTTGTTCCTCCCGTGTTCTCATTGCTCACTTAGCAATTGGCCCTGAATCAGTCTAGTTACGGTGAACGAATTTTCAAACTTTATTTAAAGTCCAAAATTGATTTCCTGAGAATATTGAAGGGCACAGAACAAAGTTCAAACAATTCACAAATATTTATACAGGCCTTGGTGTGCATTGCACTGGTTCGATGAAACAAGTTAAAAATAAAAGGTAACGAAAGACCTCACAGGAGCCCTGAAAGGCTGAAGGCAATGACCTGTTTCTAGATGGAACCGCTGAAGTGGCCAAATCAAAGAGAACCCCTGAGGGAACTATCAGACAAGCTCTTGTATTTCCCTATCTGCTTCCAACTAACATTTTGGACCCCACATTTTATTTTTTTTATAGAGGAAAGGATTAATAGCCCACATGTATGCAATTTGACCACTCACTTTTTTACTTTGTCATGGAAAACACCACTAGAGAAGGCATGCATATCCACTGGCTATCACTGATTTGATAAAAACATGTTAAACCACCATATCTTCAAAAATGAACTCTCAGACACACAAAGGAAAAGTGAAGAAATTATCATTTACTCTTTGATAATGACATCCGAGAAAGTATGAATTAAGTCTGGGAAAGGTTGCTAATTCTAAAGAATTCTGTTTCCTACTTTTGGGGAAAATCTAAGTATTTATTACATTAAGTATTTTTCATCGGGTCCAGTTTAATTCCTGTTGCAAATACGAACAGAAAGAGGAAAGAAAGAACGGAAGGGGCAGCAGGGGATCTTTGGGTGTACCTAGCTCTTCAAAAAATTGTAGCAGGAATGTCCTTTTACCTTATGTTCCAGTTATTTATTGCTGTATTACAAAGTGCCCCAAAACTTAGTGGCTTCAAACAACAGTCATTTATTTTGTTCCTAAGTCTACATTTGGGCAGAGCTCAGCAGGGGAAGCTGGCCTCTGATCAGTGCAGTTTTATCAGGGGCAGCTCAACTGCATGCCAGAAGATCCATTTCTAAGATGGTTCACTCACTTTGCTGGTGAGTTGGTTTTGGCTGCCCACCTCGAACTCAGCCAGGAGCCTGGGCTGGGGACTTTGGTTCTTCTCCATGTGGTCTAAATTTCCACACTGTATGGTAGCTGGGTGAATTTCCGAGAGAGAGAGAGAGAGAGAGAGAGAGAGAGAGAGAGAGAGAGAGAGCGCATGGTGGAAACTACATTGATTTTTATGGTCTGTTCAAAAGTCAATTCTGCTGTATACAAAGTTTAAGAGAAGGGACATATAAATCTACCTTTTGATGGAGGAGGGGCAAGATTCTGAAAAAGCACAAGAGGTGGAAAATATTGTTGCAA